GATTCTACCTTCCCCCACACACTCTGAAACTAAACTTCTTCTTGAAAATTTGTAAGCCAGCCACTTCATGCCTTTCTAGCCCTCCCACCCCCAATTTACGTAACCAATGTCTAAGTTATGGCATTAACTCTTCAACTTAAGGAAAGAAAAGGAAAAAAGAAACTAAATGATAATCAATCTATTAGTATATTAATATTTTTTAAAATGAACAAAACTAATTAGTTAATCAATAAATAATATATCCAGTTCAAACAACACACAAGATTATCATATGACAACTAAATCTCGATTCCAGGGGAAATTAAGTTAGCCTTTCCCACCTTGAATTGGCATTTTATTTTCCAAATGAAAATGCCTTATTTATTGGTGTGTTTTAATAACTATATGGCAGCATAGTCATATGAAGAAAATCATATGACACTAAAGTTAAAATGAAAACTTTTCGTTTAAAAAATGTCCTCTCTTTTAGCATATGAGCACCATTACTAAGAACAATGAAGTTTGGTGTATAAACTTCCAATTATATTTAATTTTCACATTTAAAATTGTAATACTGGGAATTATTATTTGTAAAATATTTAAACAGTATGATATAAAGATCTACATTGATTAGCCCATGTGCCATCCTATTTTACTTTATTAGTTTGAGGTGAATTCTCAGTTTTTGTTTGTATTTTCAGATGTATACATGTACCTATTAGGAGAAAATATCTTTACATTATGTGTTCTACTCTCATATTATCATGCTAGACATAAGAATATAGTAACTCTATAGGATAGAGTCCTGGTGTGGTGCTGTAGGATAAACACTGGACTGTTAACTGCAAGGTTGGCAAGTCACACCCACCAGCGACTCCGTGGAGACCCCACTATACAGGGTCACTATGAGTTACATTGACTCAACAGCACTTAACCACAACATGACAGCAGAGAGAGGAGCCCTGTTGGCTCAGTTGTTTAAGCACCCAGCTGCTAATTTAAAGGTCTGTGGTTCGAACTTTCTCTGAGGGACAACAATGTGGCAGTCTGCTTCCATAAAGAACACAGCACTGAAAATCCTATGAGGCAGTTCAAGTCATTCCTATAGGGTTTCTATGCGTCAGCATCGACTCGACAACAGTGGGTAGGTGTGTACGTACAGAACACAGTAAAACTGCCCCACAGGGTCTCCGAAACGGAAAAGCTTTACAGAAGCTGATTGTCACATCTTTGTCCTGTGGAATAGCTGGTCCTTTATTGGCTGTATTGTTCAGAGTTCCTTTACTGAGCATACTGTTCAGAAAATAAGACAATGACTCTTCACATTTATTTGTGTGTATAACCATCCAGAATTTGTATATGTGTGTATATACATGAAAGTGTATGTTTGTGCATGATTCTTTTCCCCCCAAAACAAGTAGGCATATGCTACTCTCCGTGTTGTGCCAATATCTGCACATACAGACTGAACTAGTTCTTTTCTAAGATTGGGTAATATCAAACCATCGTGTCACTATATAACAACGTAATGAATCACCTGCTGAAGAACACTTAGACTGTTTCTAGTGTTTTATAAGCAATGCTACCATGAACTTCTTTGCACACAGATGTGAAAAATGGCTGGGACACTTTTAAAAAGCATGGGCCGCATTTTGACTCTCATCGGTTGTCTGTGTGATATGATAAGAACAGGAACTCAAATACATATAAAGTCACATTTTCCAAAAAGCTTCTATTATGGGGAACTAAGGTGTGGTGCTGTGGGCTAATGTGTCAGATTGCAAAGTCATTTGAACTGCAAGGTCGGTGGTTTAAGCTCACCAGCTTCTCCTTGGAAACCCTATACAGGCACGCTATGGGTTGGAATCGACTTGACAGCACTTAACAACAATAATAAATTTCTTGCCTGGTTTTGAAAAAACCATTTTTTAAAACCCTCCTATTTTATTTTATACCTCCCTAGGACTAGTCTGGTGGCATAGAGGGTTACAGTTTGGGCTGCTAACTGAAAGCTCAGCAGTGTGAGAGCAACACATGCTCCATGGGAAAGAAATGAAGTTTCTGCTTCTGTAAAGATGAACAGCCTCTAAAACCCTGTACCAACAA